CCTGCAGCCTCTACGTGCCGCGAAGCTCCTGTCCCTCGGGCACCGGCCCCTTAGCCGCGGCGCGCGGAGCGGGGGTGTCCTGCTCCGACCGACGGGCCAGCTCGCCTGCCCCGGGCCGCCCTGCGCGCGAGGGGTGTGGGGCAGGGCTGAGACCTGTTGCTGGCGCTGCCACGGGGCTGGGAATCTGGGCACACGCCGCGGTCTGATTTAATCCTCCTGAGAAAGGCCCTGCGCTCCTCCGGCCCGCCTGGAAGTGCCCTGATGTTGGGTATTGCTGAGAAGGGCACGAATCAACACGAGTACAATTCGAATCAAAAGCTTGGCTTTGCAGAGCTGTTACCGTAACTCTGCCTCCGGCGGCGGCACCATCAGAGTCTGTCATTGCTGAACGGGCTGTTAGCGCGAGACCAAAATGAAACGGGATTTCCCCCCCAAATGATATTGGTTTCTACATTTTAAAAAACGGAATAAGACTTTCAGCAATGTAGCGCTGTCCCGTGTTGATATTCTATAACATCGCAAAGGGTTGAAGCTGAAACATTTCAGATGTGTCAAAATGAGATGTGACACTAAACGTGTTTTTTTTTTTTAAATGTTGTAAACATTTTTGAAACGTTACCATTTTGTCATAATTCGTAATGGCTTTTTTAAAATACTGACTATTTCTGTGGGGTGGAAAATGTTTTCCAACGAGCTTTGAGCATAATGGTCATCATGCTGGACTCTGCTCTGGCCACTTTCAGTCATTAAAACATAATTTTAAATATTTAATGTACTTCATATTTCCTCAGTTTAGACACTAAAAAAATGGGTCACTCTCACTTTTATTTTCTTGTCAACAGCACTTTCATGTTTTTATGCATTTATCACAATAGTCAGTGTTTTGGTCGTGAATACTGCAATGGAATGCATTAAACTTTCCCCTGAAGACTCATCTCTAGAGAAAGCTATTATGATGTTGTTTCCGTTAGTCTCACATTTTGTAAACATTTACTTTTTTTATAGTGAGTGACATCTTGTAATCATACTCCCATTCATGGGCAATAAAGACCAACTTTAGCTCTCCAATGTATGCATGTGAGCAGCTTCATTGGAAATTTCCAGAGATTTGGTACTTCACTAGCCTCCCTCCTTACAACTACAACTTTTACTTTCTCTTCTGTTTTGTTTTGAGGGTCACAGAAAAAGATCCAAGCTGAATCCAGTTTCTTCTAACCTTTGATGAGAATTATTTGAGCACACAGAGATCAGTAAGTAGCAAAGTACAGTAATTTTACTGAGATTCATTTTATTTCTTTTGTGTATTGTGTGCAGATTAAGTTACAAAAGTGCCTTTTTTATTATTGCTAGAGAGTTGCCACTTGAATATTAGCTTCCCTGTGACCTTGGCTAACATTTTTCTTCACTTCTTACTAGCCCTTTAGTAAGTGAGAATGAATTCCTAACATTCTGCTGCTGTCTCTGTGCAGAAAAGGGCTCTGGATCCAAACAGAAACAGAAGAAGAGACATCAGAACTTGGTGATGACTTTTAGAAGAACTACCCTGAATTAGTTTAATTAGAGATCTGTCCCTAGGAATAGAAATCTGAAATATTTTTAAAGATTTTTATTATGTGTGATATAATTTTCTTTAGCCCAGGACAGGGGTGGCCAAACTGCAGCTCGTGGAACTCCCCTTTCCTCCCCACCTATTCTCCATCTACCAGACCTGAGGTGCGTGGAGAGAGAAGCTTGAGACCTTCTGTCTTACAGTGGGTTGGTGATGTAGAGGCTTCTATCCATCAGGCTCAGGGCTTTGTCCCTGCAGGGAAAGGATGACTCAGGGCTTTAGCAGAAGTGGGGCTGATGCTCCAAGCCCTGTAAGATGCCTCCCTCCCACAGGGCTGAAGCTCTGATCTCCAGCCCTGGGTAAGTGTGTCATGGCTCTCAAACTTCTGAAGATTGTTGTATGCAGCTCAGAAGCCCAGAAAGTTTGGTCACCCTGGCCTAGGATGAAGAACCTCTCAGAAAGGCTCACCCTAAGTATGAAGGAAAAGCATCATTTTCAGCCTTAATTATATAGACAGGAAAGGACCAGATGTGATGCTATGTTGTTCCACCTTCTACTACAGCGCTCCTCCATGAGTCCCACTATTTCCATCTCTGCCTCTTCCCCATCCTACAAGAAAAAAGCCAAAATACAGCACATGCAATTTAAATCAAGCTAGGTGCCCATAAGATCTGGGTGCCATTTGTGGGGGAAGAGAGTACTTTTTTTCAATTGCCAGTGAGGAGGATGTTAATAATGTAAACAATGTGGGGATTATTGACACAAATAACACCAACAATCATAAACTGCTATAATTATATTGCTTGTGCCTATTCACAGAAAGCTCTTTGTGTAGGTCCGTGGTCCCCAACACGGTGCCCGAGGGCGCCATGGCGCCCGCGGGGGCATTTGCATGTGCCCACCAGGTGCTCAGGGCTGGCCTGGCCCCGGGGACATGGCGCGGCGCTTGCGGGGAGCGTCGGCCCCGGGCGCGCGGCGCTTGCGGGGGGGAGGGGC